TCAGTTTCTCGATGTGCAAAAAAGAGACAAACCCCAAACGACTTGCAGCTGTAATTGCAGCAAAAAGGGGCGCTAGAAAGTATTAACTCAAGCGGGCTGAATCATTTTGCACACCCAATTTTTCACTTTCTAATTGTTAAAAAAGTTGAAAATATCCAAAAAATTTCTTTCAACTTCATGATTTTGTCCCACTTGATGTTGATTCTTCACAATAAAATACAATTTTATATATAATATATTATGTTTAGAGCAGGAAATGTGGCAAAAGATTGAAAAGTTCAAAGGGGGGCAAAAACTTTAGCAAGGCACTTTAAATTCCTGGATATAAGTAGCAGAATAAGCTCAGCAGTGAAAGTAAAGCAGAGAAGTCAGTGAAACTAGAATTAGGGTTATTTTTCAGAGCAGAGTTATCTGGTCCAAAAGGTAATAAGGTTTCCAACAAATTATAATCCGATAAAAGATGCATAAAACATAAATTAAATGAAAGATTAATTGGGTTTAAATAAAATTGCTTTCAAGAGCAATTTAAGGTGGAGGATTGTGTATTTCTGTAGATTCTCAGTCATCCAGGAGGTCTGATTTTAAAGTGCACCTGCACATCAGACCTCCCACAAGACTCTTTTTAGCCTCGCCACCGCAGCGCTATAAGGGGCTTTTAAAATTAAAGCTAGTTAAAGCAGAGATCAAGAAGCCAAAGGGAAAGCACTGTAGTAATTGGCTAGAGAGAGGAGCCTTTTTAGCCTCCGCTGCTGAAGTGATTATGACACCAGTTGCTCATTTGTAACACCAGCCTTCAGCTGTGAGCTGCTGATGGAGACCAAATGTTGTCTAATAAAGTCTTTATTTTAGCAATCATATGAATCCATCTTTCTTTTAATCCTTCTCATATTAGGCATGTTTTAAGTTCCAATTCAATACTTCAAATTTAATTTAGTTTAATTTTCCATGTTTCACTCTAGAGCTCCACAGTATATGAAGTCAAATGCTTCATTTCAATATCTAAAGGACGTATTTGATGCAATATTGGGTAGGTTGATATATTGCGAATGTAATGTATGTATTCAAAATGTTTACAGATAATGTATTTAGCCAGTTGGACGGGCTCATTCTGTTAGGTTTCTGTTTCTGTTATGTTTTTCTTTTGTTCCTTGATTTCTAGTGTTTAGTTTTCTTTTCACCATGTTTCTTTATCCTAGTTATTTGATTATTATTTTGTTGTTGTTTTCTTATTAGTTCCTGTCTTCCAGGTTTTCCATTTGTTGTCCTCTGCTGCCCTCTTGTGTCCTCTTTCTCTTGCTCTGTTTTCTGTTCAACCCTCACCTGTTTTCAATTCCCTCATTACAGAGATGGGAAGTAACGAAGTACAAATACTTCGTTACTGTACTCAAGTAGATTTTTCTGATATTTTTACTTTACTTTACTACTTATTTTTATGGCGACTTTGTACTTCTACTCCTTACATTTTTACACAAATATCTGTACTTTCTACTCCTTACATTTTAAAAATTGGCTCGTTACTTTAGTTTTTAATCATTTCAATGGAGTTACCGTTATTATTTTTCACGTCATCAATCTACATTGCTTTTCACGCACCACTACAAGATGAATCCGCAGATTCGGCGGTATTCATTCGCGGCAAATCATTGCAGCTTGGTGGCGGTAGAGGTAGCGTTAGCGTTAGCATAAGCGTTAGCATAGAAGTATGGACGACGAGAGGATGGAAAGTGAAAACAACGGAGATCCCAGAGATTCGGCAGAAAAGCAGCAAGACATTCCCGATCACCCTTGGCCTTATCTGAAAGAGATGTTTGACATAGTAGGCATCAAGAATGACTCCTGGCGAATGTGCTGCAAATTGTGCCAACCAAAACACCATGAACTGCTGGCTTTCAAGAATTCACCATCGAATTTGAAAAAGCATATAGAGGTAAATGCATATTTTTGTTGTTATCAAAAGCTATTTGTTGTTTGTTGTCTTTATTAAGTGTACGTTAATGGTCAGTTATATTTGTCCTCCTGCTAGCTTACAATTACCATGACTTGATTCTCTAGCATTTTGCTAGCAAGTAACTCAAGTGACGTTAGGTTAGCAAGCTTTCACTTTATTTGAAATTCTAATACTAGCTGGCTGATACAATATCTGTATGACGACCTGCTCAAAATGGACGCTAAAATTTTTTACACAACTATGAATGCCGAGACAAGAACGTTGAGACATTAAGAAGAAGCCCCGGTTAAACACAATAAAACAAGCCTCATCACTTTTACAAACCACCCTGTTTGTTTGTGGCTAGCTGTAGCAAGAGGTGAGGAAAAGAAGGAAAGCTTACTTGTTTTTCGATTATGGCTGTTATTCTCCTGTCGTGTAGCTGTCTTTTTTTGGAGACCACTTAAGTTAACGTTACTCGGTCTTGTCTTAAATCAACTTTATTTTTGGCTGATGTTTTTTGACGTTAATGTCTCAAACATCCCAGACATTAAATTACTCATGTTTTTAATTCAAGACTTTACTTTTCTATGGGGCCAAAATTGTTGCTTTATTATTTACAAATGTGTGTGGAGAGTTGTATATCTGTATCTCGATTTGTGCGTGTGTAGGGGGATTTGAAAATGTGTAAATGAAACTAAATGTGTGAGGAGATTTGTGTGTCTGTACAACAATCTGAAAATGTGCAAAACTGTCTACTTGTGTGTGTGTAATCTGGTTTGCAAATGTGTAAAAAATCCACAAATCTGTATTAAGATCTACAAATATGTACTGAGATTTGTAAATGTGTAAAAAATCCACAAATCTGTATTACAGATTTTACAGATACAAATCCTTTTACACATTTGTGCATCTCACACGGCAGAAGTGTAGCAAAAATCACGTGTGTAAAGAGAGCCAACCGAGAAACTGCTGGACTTGTAACCAATGATGTGTCTGTATTTCTGGGTGTTGAAGCGAAAATACTTCGGACACAGTGTCTCTGTGTGTGTTTACAGATTGTTCTACACATTTGCAAATCTTAGTACAGATTTGTAAATCTGAATACAGATTTGTAAATCTCAGTACATATTTGTAGATCTGAATACAGATTTGTGGATTTTTTACACATTTGCAAACCAGATTACACACACACAAGTAGACAGTTTTGCACCTTTGCAGATTGTTGTACAGACACACAAATCTCCTCACACATTTACAGTTTCATTTACACATTTTCAAATCCCCCTGCACACGCACAAATCGAGATACAGATATACAACTCTCCACACACATTTATAAATAATAAAGCAACAATTTTGGCCCCATACGTTTCTTTCAAACTGTGTGTGAGCTGGTTAAGGGATGTGGGAAACACAAGTTAAGACAGTTAAGAAATGTTACATTTGTATTCTATGACCTCTGCTTGCACTCCCCAGATCAGTCAGCCAGTCACTAGAATCAAAGATGACATCAGTCCAAAGTTAGACTTTACTAGTCATAAATAATTTGCAGGTTCAAACAAAAGAAAAAAGCAGTAATAGCTGTCATACAGTTGCTATACCAGTGCTTTACCCATTCAGAGGTAGAGGCTACATTTACAGTGTATTGACATGTTAAGAAATAATTATGGGCTATGTATACTGTGATATTTTGTTAGTTTTAATCATGCCAAGATATTGGTTTTAAGCCATGGTGCCTAATGTTTCAAATTGCATAGTAAGTTACATCAGACAGTCTTGGCTATATCACTGAACAATTTGTTTTGTGTGTTTGTATTTTCACTCACAGAGAATGCATGTCAATCATATGGAGAGATACAGAAAGCTCACTTCAGCTGTTCAGAAAAGAAAGTCAACCATGAATGCAGGCCCATCACCCAAACAACCAAAGTTATGGGAAGCCAAGAGAGTGTCACAGGTCAGTGTGGAAAAGGGAATCATTGACTTCGTCATTCAAGGGCTACACCCACTAAGTGTAGTTGAGCAGCAGGGATTCAGAGACCTTCTGCTTCTCCTCCAGCCCAATCTAACAATTATGTCTCGTGGCACTCTTAAAAACAAAGTGGAGAAAGCAACACAAGAAATGAAAAATAATCTGAAATTGGCTTTGAAGAAAGTTGAGGTTATTGCAACCACCACAGATTGCTGGACCACACACCGACGGGGTTTTATAGGTGTCACTGCGCATTGGATAGATAGTGCAACTCTGCAGAGGCGCTGTGCTGCCCTAGCCTGCAAGCAGCTAAAAGGGTCGCATACTTTTTCTGCCCTTGCTAGTGCTCTCAACGATATACATGTGGAGTACAACATCCGAGACAAGATTGTTTGCACAACAACTGACAATGGTTCAAATTTCATAAAGGCCTTTAGAGTCTATGGTGAGCTGGATGAAAATAACAATCCAGATACTGCACTTCAGGGTGCAAGGGAAAGTATGGGAGGAGAGAGTGATGAAGAAGAAGGGGGAGATATCACAGGTGTCGAGTTTGTTGAAGCCGGGACAATATTGGATTAAGATAATGGCTTGGAATACCAGCTGCCAAAGCACCAACGTTGTGCATGCCACCTTCTCAACCTGATCTCCACTGCTGATGCCTTGAAAGCAAATGAAAATCCAGTGTACAAGCGTCTGTCTCGTTCAGCATTCTCCAAATGTTCAAGTCTGTGGAGCAAAAGCTCAAGATCCACCACAGCTGCTGAAATCATATAAGATAACTGCAAACTTCAGCTCCTGAGGCCAAATGAGACACGGTGGAACTCCCTTTTCTTTGCCGTGGAGAGGATTGTGAGAATCCTAAAGGAACAAGGAGGAGGAGCAATCACACCTGTCTGCAGCGCGCTAAAGATACCCATGTATGTACTTGCCATTTTATTTATAGATATATTGACTGCAATATGAGGTAGCTTCATATTTAGTTAATGTCTTGCAGTTAAGGATGGGTTTAAAATTTCCTAATGAATACTTTGATTCCCACTATGAATGAAATTCTATATTAATAATTAATTGTTTTTGTTTTTATTGTCAGGCTCACTCCTGTTGAGCTTGCTTTTTTGGCAGAGTATACCAAGACTATGAGCCCAATTGCAAAGGCGCTTGATGTTCTCCAGGGAGAGGCCAATGTACAGATGGGATGGTTGGTACCTACAATAACACTACTCCAGGAGAAGCTCCAGCACCTCTGCATTTCCTCCAAGTCCTGTCGGCCTTTGATTGAAGCACTTCTAGCAGGCCTTAAAAAACGTTTTGGACAGATGCTTACAGATCCAGAGCTAATTGCCGCTGCCATTCTTGTCCCCAAATTCAAGACCTGCTGGACAAGTGATGAATGTATCCTAAAACTGGGTATGTCTTGCAATGCTTACTTTACACTTATAATAGTTCAAAGTCCAGCATTTGAAGTATCCCTAACTTAGTGCAAACAAAATGACAATATTTATGTAATCATTATATTTTTTGTTCAAAATAATGTTATAAACCGTCTTAGAGTGTTGACATCCAATTTGATTTTGTGTTTCATAGGCCTTGACTACATCAAAAGTCACCTGAAGGAACAAGTTGTGGTGAATGAAGGTGATACGTCCCATTCCTCGGAGGAGGAGGACTTTTTTTCAGCACTCAAGCACTCTAGTTCCCAAGAAAATACCAAACAGCTGGAAATGTACCTGGGGTGCCCAGGTGATACAATGGATGTACTGAAGTCTTTCCCAGCAGTATGCCACCTGTCATTGAGGCTTAACACGGCACTACCTGCCTCTGCTGCCTGCGAGAGACTGTTCAGCACTGCAGGCCTGATTTTTACACCAAAAAGGGCCCGTGTTGATGCCATGAACTTTGAAAACCAGCTTCTTTTGAAGCTAAACAGAGATTTCTGGTAGTTTGGTATTCTTTCTCTGTATCATGCAAACACACATTTACACTGATACCCACACACACACACACTAACACAGATGCTAAAAAAAGATTATGTTTGTTATGTTGCCTTAGAAGTTTTTCCACATGTTTTGGGACTTGGATGTTCACCCAACATCAAGCACACACAGACCTTGAGCTATACTGTACATTTGATCACTTGCGGTCTCTCGCTCAGATTTTTCTTTAACTTTGAGCTCCTGCTTTCAATGAAAAGCCTTTTTTGTTCCAGACTTTTCACCAATGTAATATAGTTTTTGTTTAGTTTGATTAAGGTGGTTGGCCAGCTTCTTTGGCTATTATCTATTTTTCATATTAATAAAAAAAAGTTATACAACACACATTGAATTTGTAATTTCTACAACTTTTATAGCACTTAAATTGTAAAAATGGACATTACCCTTTATTAGCACTCTATGTTCAAAGCTTTACTAGCTGTCAGTTCATTTCGTATACGCTGCTGCCATCTGTTAGTTGCAACTCTAAAAGTATGGCGAACTTCGTTAATAACTGTTAAGTAAGTCATATATTATCCTATTTTTTCTTGTTTTGTTGCCATGTTTGAGCATGCACACATACATGCAGATTCCAAATGTTAATGACAAGATAAAAAAAGAGAAACTGGGTCTGTGAATTCTCACAAAATCACAATTGAATTTATATCTTGCTAATGAGTCAGAATCTTATTAACCTGGAGTCCCAGTCTCTGTCAGTCATATATATATATATATATATATATATAAAAATATGTTTTAGTCCTATTGACAGACATCCATTTAAAATGTAGGCAACGGCATGAAAAAAGTGGTTTCTACTTTTACTTTTATACTTTAAGTAAATTTATAAGCCTGTACTTTGTTACTTTTACTTGAGTAAAGAAGTTTAATCAGTACTTCCACTTTTACCAGAGTATTTTTTAACACAAGTATCTGTACTTTTACTCAAGTACGGAAAGTGAGTACTTTTGCCATCTCTGCCTCATTAGCCCTCTCCCTGTCTCTGTCCCCTTTAAAAGCCCTTCCTCTTCAGTTCCTGTTTGCTGGATCCTCGTCTAACCTCTCGTCTAACCTCTCGTCATCGTCTGTCTGCCTTCCTCGCCTCTCCCTGGTTCCTAGATTTTGGTTTCCCCCTGATGTCACCTTGGTTCTGGTTCGTTAGTTATTTTGTTGGATTTTTTGATTCCTGCCTCAGTGCCTGAGAACCTTATTAAACCACTTAAATTCACCTCTGCCAACTCGTCTCTGCATTTGGGTCCTCCTCAACAAACACCATTTCATGACACATTCCATCCATCCATCATCTTCTGCTTATCCGGGGTTGGGTTGGTATATATATATATATGAAAAAAAACAACTGTTTTTCTCACCCCTCGTGGGGTGGTATGTGTTACACGTGGAAGAAGAAGGGGTCTTCACTGTGCAGCATATTTAATTTTTATTGATTTTTCCTGTGAAAACATGAACAACAACATCAGTTCACTTTTGCTATGTCTCATCTCTGATCACGCTGTCTGACGTCTTACTCGCTCCACAACTGCACGCGCCAGCAGCGGATACTTTGACTATAGCAAATCATGTAAAACATACCAGTCCTGACACATTAAACTGTGGTCGTATTCACCAAACATCAGTAAATTAACTCTTTTTAACCTCCATCTTTATCATTTTTAACCACAATATTAATTCCCTTTATTTTCATATATACACATCTCAGTGCTGTAATGGGTTAACTTGTTATTTTTGCATATTATTTCTAACCATAAACAATCATAAAAAAAACGATAAGACTAGTAACAGTCTAGTACTGAGCCCATGAACTGACCCACCGTATGCTAACATCACGCCACCGCGAGCTGAGCAACTGTCGGTTAGCTGCGGTTATACACTAAGCTATTAGCCGCGTGCTAATGTTAGCACCTCGCTCAACCTGTTGAGACCAACCTAAAGTCGCACGGCAATACGTTATCCAGTGTTCGCCCACATCATGTGTCATCTTTACACATCTGTATCTTATGAATTTTACATTTTCTCTTACCTGTGAAAACATGAACAGCAACATCAGTTCACTTTTGCTATGTCTCATCTTTGATCACGCTGTCTGACGTTTTACTCGCTCCACAACTGCACGCGCCAGCAGCGGATACCTGGGAGACGCAGCGCCCCCTGCTGATCGGATGTTTTCACAGTCACACGCATACATAACATTGAGTCAAAAATAAAAAATATAATTGGGCGTACACTGTAAATTGTCTTTTCAATAAACTGTCCATTAGCACCAAATTGTCTCTGCAAACACCTTATGCCACATATGTGTCATCCTCAAGCTGGGGTCCTCTACCAGAGGCCTGGGAGTTTGAGGGTTCTGCGCAGTATCTTAGCTGTTCCTAGGACTGCGCTCTTCTGGACAGAGACCTCTGATGTTTTACCTGGAATCTGCTGTAGCCACTCTCCCAGTTTGGGGGTCACTGCCCCCAGTGCCCCAATTACCACTGGCACCACTGCTGCTCTCACTTTCCACATATTTTCTAGCTCCTCTTTCAGCCCTTGGTATTTCTCAAGCTTCTCGTGTTCTTTCTTCTTGATGTTGCTGTCGCTTGGGATTGCCACATCTATCACTACTGCCTTCTTGTGCTGTTTGTCGATCAACACGATGTCTGGTTGGTTAGCAGTCACCTGTTTGTCAGTCTGGATCTTGAAGTCCCATAGGATCTTAGCTCGGTCATTCTCAACTACCTTAGGAGGTGTCTTCCATTTTGACCTTGGGACTTCCAGCCCATACTCATAGCAGATGTTTCTGTACACTATGACAGCTACCTGGTTGTGGCGTTCCATGTATGCACTTCCTGCCTGCATTTTACACCCTGCTGTTATGTGCTGTATTCTATTTACATCTTCTAGAAGACTTTCAGAGGGTACTCTGTCACTTAGCCTTGGCAGTATTGGTCGTTGTGCTAGGGGATCCAGTTTGGTTATGATCTGCAGTCGTAGGCCAGCCGTCCTTACGTTTAGTGGGCTTGTTGTTGTTGGGGCTGGGGGCCCAATCTCTGTGTGCTGGGATGATGATATCTCCCTGCTGACCTGTTGTCCTGACTCCCCCTTGCCGCAGCATGTCAGTTGTACCTCATCAATTTCTAGCTGTGATAGGAGCTGCCGTTTGCGGATGTTAGAACACTGAATTAGTAGTTGTTTCTTTGTCAGTGTCGATGATGTTTGTTGGAGCTGCTTTAACTCCCATAATCTCTGCATGTAACCTCTCTCACAAGTTTTCTGCTATATATAGATATATATATATATATATATCTATATATATTAGGGCTGTCAGTTTTAAAGCGTTATTAACGCGTTAACTGCTTTAGACTATAACGCCGACATTTTTTAAAACACACGTTAATCGTGCATCAAAACAAACGCACCGTTCGCTTTTGTTCTTTATTTTTCCGCATCGCTCGCTGTACTGTTTGTTTTACCCTCGGCGCTTTCCGTAGCTTCAGGAACGCTAAGTTTTGGGAGAGACCGCAGCATAGCAGACAACAGACCCGTGCTTTGAATGAGCAAAAATGGCCAGCAGACAAGGTATCCTGAATCATAAGTTTCATTTTAAAGTTATCCCAGAAGGCTGTCTTGACAAAACCCGAGTCCTATGTCCATGTTGTCCAGAAGAAACGAGCGTCTCACTGGCTTAGTGCCGACAAGACAAATAAATAAATTCAGTCATGTGGACTGCGCTGCTGCTGCACTTCCTGTGCCGAAGGAATATTAAAGCATCTTGAAAATGTTCTACATGTTAAATCCTGTGTTGGTGAAATATCTGCAAAGCCCAGTTATTGTATATTCGTTTGATTTATTTATTATTTTGTGAGTAACTTCATTTTATTTGAATTAAGTCTGAATTTCATAACGGAATGTGCACTTTATTAACAGTACATCTTTATTTTTGTCCTATGTTTGAGAAAAAACTTAAGTTTAAGGAGTACTTTGAAGTACTGTTTACTGTTCTGTAGTTTTGTAATTTTTTACAATTTTTGAATAATTATTGGCCGGAATTTAAACCAGGATATTTTTATTCTAGTTGTGCTTGAAAAATAATGTGCTTGAAAAATAATGATAATAAAAAAAAAACTTTTTGTATAAGCATGTTTTTTTTTTAATAAAATAAAAAGATAAAATATGCGATTAATTTGCGATTAATCTTGAGTTAACTGTTCATATTATGCGATTAATCGCCATTAAAATTTTTAATAGTTTGACAGCACTGATATATATATATATATATATATATATATATATATATATATATATATATATATATATATATATATATATATATATATATATATATATATATATATATGCTATTAACTCTGAACATGGGTATGATAGTTTTTCAAGTTATTGTACGTATACACCAGTAAGCTATGATTTAAGGTCCCCTTGAAACTTCTTCTAGAAGTAAACAAAAAATGGCTCCATTTCACTGCTTAACTGCAAAGGGAATCGTTTTTTTTAAACGTAGATATTAAGTAAAGGATGTGATTTGTGTTTCAGGCCAATAAACTCAGAACCAAGACTCTGCACAACACACTCAACCCCGTCTGGAGCGAGACGCTGACGTACTACGGCATCACCGACGAGGATATGGTCCGCAAAACTCTCAGGTACTCTCAGCAGTAAGACCAAAGAGTATGAAGAAAAGACAAGGAAAATAATGTGGGGAAAAAAAGGGAAATAAAACAGCATGACTCAAAGAAACATTATAGACAGGAGCTAAGTAATATTAGGATAAGTTATGCAACATATAAAGGTAGTGGTGCTAATGTGAATTATAAGGAAAGAAGACAAGAATTAGAGATGAGAAATGAGTAGAAATGGAGGTAAGGAAGGATGAAAACTAAAGTAATTATAGGAATTAAATTAACAAGGAAGATGTTAGAACAAAGAAAAAAGACTGAAAGGAAAGAATCAGATTAGACCCTGACAGAAGGAAGTGAGGCAAAATGGGCCAATTAAAGAAAATCACAGGAACTCGGGAGTAATGGAAATGGAAAGGCACATAATAAAAAAAGGATAAATGCAGAAACTCTAAGAAGAAATCAAAAAGAACAAAGGACATTAGAATTTTTAAAAAGTGACCTAAAGAAAACAGAGAATAACATGCTCCTTTCTTTATTAAATGTTCTCTTTTTTTGTGGTTTTATTTTTGTGTTAAACAGTTTTTCTTCCTGCTTTCAAGGATGAAAAAACATATTTTAAGGCATTCAACTCTTCGTTCATAATTGGACAACCTTCTTGTTTATCCACCATGTGTTAAAACTCCTAAACAGAACAAGCAGAATATATTTGATCTCATGCAAAGGTGGGAGGATAAAACACTTTTTATTCTCCTTCCAGTCAGTAAACTATACATACGGAAAGACATGTTGCCAAAAACTTTAAAGTCCCTCTGAAAATGATGACACATTCATGTAATTCAAGTGTTACTTCACCTCCACCGGCTTCCTTCTTTATACCAACGTGTTAACAGTGTATAATAAAGTGGTGGAGGTAGGTTATGCAACCATATGCACACTCTTTGTTTGAGATGGACAGAGTACAGAGGAGGAGTGTTGGTGCTGGTTTAAGTGTTAGCTCAGCGAACTATCAGAACATTGCCAGTGATTCCCTTCATGCATAAACGCCGCTTTATTAATTATTCAACACTTATTTTAGCCTTTAAGAGCAAGATGCACTGGAAAAATAAAAAAAAATGTCTTAAATTAAGTTCATTTATCCTTAATTTGAGCAGGTAAATAAGATTATTTGCCAATGGAGTGAGTATTTTTACTCTTAAAATAAGATAATTAGTTATTATGCACCTGAAATAAAACAATGCAGTTGTGTTTTCTTACTGGAAAGAGAGTAAATTCTCTTGTTCTATTAGCAAAATGTCTATTTTGTTTGGGGCGACATTTATAAAGTTAAGCAGTAAAACATTAGGAGCAATATTCATGGTTATTTAGTGTGTTTTAAGAGAAATTATTTTTTTCCCCAAGTAATTTTTTCGCTGTGTCGTTAATTCATTTATAAAAATCTTACTTTATTAAATAAATGTCTAGTTTGGAACTAAATATGTAGTTTGTTAAATAAGTATTTAGTTTTTTAAATAAATATTTAGTTTGTTAAATAAATATTTAGTTTATTAAATAAATATTTACTTTATTAAATAAATATTTAGCTCCAAATTTTATATTTAGTTTGCAAATATGTAGTTTGTTAAATAAATATTTCGTTTTTCTTTATAAATATTTACTTTATTAAATAAATATTTACTTTATTAAATAAATATTTAGCTCCAAATTTTATATTTAGTTTGCAAATATGTAGTTTGTTAAATAAATATTTCGTTTTTCTTTATAAATATTTAGTTTATTAAATAAATATTTAGCTCCAAACTTAATATTTAGTTTGCAAATATGTAGTTTGTTAAATAAATATTTAGTTTTTTAAATAAATATTTAGTTTTTAAATAAATATTTAGTTTATTAAATAAATATTTAATTTTTAAATAAATATTATTTTATTAAATAAATATTTAGTTTTTAAATAAATATTTTGTTTATTAAATAAATATGTAGTTTGTTAAATAAATATTTAGTTTGTTAAATAAATATTTAGTTTTAAAATAAATATTTAGTTTGTTAAATAAATATTTAGTTTATTAAATAAATATTTAGCTCCAAACTTAATATTTAGTTTGCAAATATGTAGTTTGTTAAATAAATATTTCGTTTTTCTTTATAAATATTTAGTTTATTAAATAAATATTTAGCTCCAAACTTAATATTTAGTTTGCAAATATGTAGTTTGTTAGATAAATATTTAGTTTTTCTTTATAAATATTTAGTTTATTAAATAAATATTTTGCTCCAAACTTAATATTTAGTTTGCAAATATGTAGTTTGTTAGATAAATATTTAGCTTTTTAAATAAATATTTAGTTTTTAAATAAACATTTAGCTCCAAACTAAATATTTATATAACAAAGTAAGATTTTTATAATGAATGAATAAATGAATGAATGACACAGAGAGAAAAAAATGGAAAACCGTATTTTTCTCTTAAAACACGCAAAATAACCATTAATATCACTCCTCATTTTTGACCGCTTAACTTTACAAAAAGCACCCGATATTTTACATCCTCAATTCAAATGCAGTGAATTTAAGAAAAAAATGACTTATCTAGATTTCGATTTTTTCTCACTAAAGCAGAAGATGTTTCTCCGTTTGTTTCGTCTGAGGCTACCTGATGTATTTCAGCATCTGGTATCGTTTTCTGACCCCCAGTGATCGACTGCCGCTCTTATCAACACCCTGCAAACACATTAGTGTATGTTACTTATTTTGTGTTGCAGAGTATCAGATTGGACTAAATTGTTGCCACGCTGAATTACAAAAGAGATCAGAAGCATCAGCATGCAGTGACATGATCTGATGAACCATTTCAGGGGACTGCACTCCCCGTTCCCAAATAACACAACTCATTTATTTCTGTAAATTGAAACATGATTTCAGCACGGCCCTTTCACGCTGCTATCAGCACTATTATTGATATGGAATGTCTGATTGCACAACATCCTATGCAACCTGCAGTCTTGTTACATTATGCTGTTGGGCGCTCAGAGGCAGCATGTTTGTTTTTTCTTCATATGGATGCTTATTATGCAGAGAAAAGCACTTGAAACAAACAGTATTCATCTACACCAGCCCGAGCGTGAGTCGTGTCATATCAGGGCAGAGAGCGCTCGCACGGGGACTGCTCTCCGCATTTATTGGAGACATGCTGTAGGTCTTTTGAGAGCTCTGATTATTGGTTTCCATTATGACTTTCATCAAATGCTGAAGAGGCATATAGATCCCTAGTCTAAAATGTGAAACCAAAAGATCACTATTTTTACAGATTCTTCTTTTACTTCTGTTGAATTCTTCCTGAATGTTGTAGAATCATAGAAGCAACCAGACCTTCTGATTGACTCCTAAGCCTCTTTCCCACTGAAAATAGTGTGTTAACCTGGTTTAAGCAGGTTTTTCAGCCAGTGGGAAAGGGGCATTAAGGTAAACTTCATCAATAGTTATCTCACATTTTTGGAGCTCTCCAAATCTTTCATAAGGTTTAGCTTCTTCTCCCTCCTTTTTATTTTAGTTTTATTTGTGAAAATTCACTAAGGATTCATTTAAAACAAATAGGGAATCAGCAAGGATGTAACTTTGTAATGAAAGTTGGTGGGGGCACTCTAAGGGTGGGGGCTGATGGAGCTACAGTTACTCCACCCGAGCGCTTTCATTCGATTTTTATATTTTCGAAAAATGACCTCAAACACATATTTATAGATAGTTAGAAATATGCCATATATATATATATATATATATTAGGGGTGGAACGGTTCACAAAATCCATGGTTCGGTTCATGGTTTCATGGTCATGGTTTTCGGTTCGGTATATGTTGATTGTTACACTGGAAAAAAAATCGAAATTTAGATACTTTTTTGTTTCTTAAAACAAGTGCATTTGTTCTTGGATTCAGTAGGTAAAAGAAAGATTTTGCCAAGGAACAAGACAATTTACACTTACAATAAGAAAACACAATTGCATTGTCTTATTTCAGGTGCATTTTATCTAATTTTCTTATTTTAAGAGCAAAAATACTCATTCCATTGGCAAACTATCTCATTTACCTACTCAAATTAAGCGTAAATACACTTAATTTAAGACATTTCTACTTATTTTTAGATCCTTTTTCCAGTGTACCCTGAAATCCCATAAAAAGCGCTGACAGAGTATGTGGGATTTCGGGGTTAGCATGACATGTTGGTCATGTTGCTGTTAGCATAAACAAAATGTGTTGCACAATGCTTGCACACTGTTGCACTTTTATCCACAACTTTCTTCCTGCCGTCATCGTAGGTCACTCTAAATGCAAAGTGGTCCCATACAGCAGACCTATAAAGTGCTGCTGGCGCGTCTTCCAACTCCTGTTCTTTCCCACTCGCCATACCCACACAATTCTCCACAACAACTGATTTTTTCCTGCTACACCCGGCTACGCTGCTTCGCTTCTTCTTCTTCTTGTTTACTACTGGTGGTTGGCTTTGGTCGCAGTACCGCCACCTTCTGCTCTGGAGTGTAAACGCTTCGCCTATGAGAAAAAGGAGCAGCGCATGAACCTAACGCAACACACGCGAACCGAACCGAGACAGTCGAACCGAACGGTTCTGACGGTTTTCATAAACCGTTCCATCCCTAATATATATATATATATATATATATATATATATATATATATATATATATATATATATATATATATATATATATATATACACACATATATATACATATTTAACATGAATGTAAAACAAAATAAAGAATAACAGCCGATTCCGATGCCAAAATCTATATATCATGCATCCCTAGAAGTACAATTTCATTTCCATCCAGAAAAATGTGGTCATGCTGCATTTTTAATATAGCATAGCGCTTTTTTTTATTGTAAAGTTTCTGGTGAACTTGGAGATATTTTTGGAACATTTTATTGCATGTTGCACATCCCATCTCATTGACTATTCAGCAATCCCTCACACTAAGCATGCTTGTAACGATAGTGGAGAGGAAAAACTCCCTTTTAACAGGAAGAAACCTCCAGCAGAACCAGGCTCAGTGTGAGCGGCCATCTGCTGAGGCCCACTGGGGTTCAAGGAGACAGAAGCAGACATAGAAAAAGAAGCATAGATACAAAAGGCAACTGTCAACCAGCTCCACAGGCGGCCCCGTCCAGGAAACACACAGCCAGGCAGACGAGCTCCGAGCCAGCTCCCATGTCAGAGGATGAAGAGAGCACATCCAGTTAGTCACAGTCAGAGAAACAGGACCACACTGGAAAACAGGCCGATCTCCAACATCTATAAACAAGGGTGTTGATAGAAGCAGCACAGCTGATGTTTCTTTCCAGGATGACGTCACAGCCAAACAGGAACAGACGAGGCAAAGCTACTCTGAGGAAAAGCAGAGAGAGCAGAAGGTTAGAGATTGAACTAACAGATTCTGCAGAATAGGAGAACAGAGAGAGAATGAAGCAGAATGATGAAATGGGGGTCCCTATGTCCTCCAAAAGTCTAAGCCTATAGCAGCATAACTATAGAGATAGATCAGGATAACCTGAGCCACTCTAACTAGAAGCTTTATCAAAAAGGAAAGTTTTAAGCCTAGCCTTAAAAGTAGACAGGGTGTCTGCCTCACGGACTAAAACTGGTAGTTGGTTCCACAGGAGAGGAGCCTGATAACTAAAAGATCTGCCTCCAATTCTACTTTTACAAATTCTAGGAACCACTAGTAAACCTGCAGATTGAGAGCGAAGTGCTCTGTTAGGAACATAAGGAACAATCAGATCTCTGATATCAGATGGAGCTTGGCTATTTAAGGCTTTATATGTGAGAAGGAGGATTTTAAATTCTATTCTGGATTTAACAGGAAGCCAATGAAGAGAAGCCAGGATAGGCGAGATATGATCTCTCTTTTTAATTTTCATTAGAACTCTGGCTGCAGCATTTTAGATCAGCTGAAGGCTTTTAACTACAGTTTGTGGACTTCCTGATAGTAAAGAATTACAATAGTCCAGCCTTGAAGTAACAAATGCATGGACTAGTTTCTCAGCATCACCCCTGGACAGGAGATTTCTAATTTTTGCAATGTTCCTCAGATGAAAGAAGGAAATTCTAGAAACCTCTTTGATATGGGATTTAAATGACAGGTCCTGATCAAAAATAACACCAAGATTTTTTACTTTATTATCTGAAATCAGTTTAATCCCATCCAAATGAAGTGACTGACTAATCAGCTTCTTTTTCAGAGACTCTGGTCCAAAGACTATAACTTCTGTTTTGTCTGCATTCAGAAGCAGAAAGTTAAGAGTCATCCAGGTTTTTATGTCTTCAAGACATGCCTGTAATCTATGTAATGGGTTAGCTTCATCTGGATTTATAGACAGATATAGCTGGGTATCATCAGCATAACAGTGGAAATTAATCCCATGCTGTCTAATAATTCTACCAATTGGGAGCATGTATAAAGTAAAGAGAATTGGTCCTAGCACTGATCCCTGTGGTCAGAGGATGAAGAGAGCACATCCAGTTAGTCACAGTCAGAGAAACAGGACTACACTGGAAAACAGGCCAAGCTCCAACATCTAGAAACAAAGGTGTTGATGGCAGCAGCACAGCTGATATTTCTCTCCAGGATGGAGTCACAGCCAAACAGGAACAGACCAGATGAAGCTACTATGAGAAAAAGCAGAGAGAGCAGAACGTTAGAGATTGAACAAACAGATTCTGCAGAGTGGGAGAATAGAGATAGAATGAAGCAGAATGATGAAAAAGGGGTCCCTATGTCCTCCAGCAGTCTAAGCCTATAGCAGCAGAACTATAGAGATAGCTCAGGATAGTTTCATTTATGCCTCCCAAATAAAACATCCCATAACCATATCCTTTTGGTTTAGATTTTCTATACATGTAGATTCCCCTTATTAATAGAGATAAATGATCAAAGGGTTGCATCTTGCACATTTAACTGCATTATGAAAAATTTTGAAAAGGTATAACCCAGTTCTTCAATGTATTTTGATGCAATTTCAGTTCTACTGCACAAGAGATAAGGTCCACTTGTCAAACCGGTCAACCTCTCACTTATTTTGGAAAAAAAATAAATAAATAAAAAAAAGGACCTGGTGATTTTCTGCAAGCACCTTTTCTGTTGGTTTAAAAGTTTGGCTGTTAAAAAAGAATTCCATAAAAAAAGACATAAATTTTATTACATTAGTTGCATAGTGTCCCTGGGTGTTTTGAAAGCCCTCTGAATAAAATATATCATCGCTATGATTAAGGTTTTTACAAATGATATAAACTCCCCGAGTATAAAGATTGTTCTGATTCTTGCATCACAGCTTCTTTCTCTATTTCCTGATTTTTATCTAACTCTGAATTGTGCAGCAAATGTCATGCTGCTGGGTGATGTGTTTATAGACAGAAAATAATAGGAATAAAAGGAAATTGTTCAGTGTTTGACTTGCTGATCGTCACCCAGGGTCAATTATAGTAAATCTTACAGATCACTACTTTTAGATTTCTCTAAGGATGATGTCTTACGATGAAGATGTTTGTTGTATTTGTGTCTCAAAAATTCATATTTGCAAACAGGCTCAGTGTCCCGCTGTGCGATTTAATTTAAGCTGCACCATGAAAGAGAAGAGCAAAGAAAGATCTGTTGAAAATGAGTTATTTGTTCGATCTTAAATGTTTTTTTTACATAATTATGATGCCTGCCATCCAAATTAAATGATTTCTCATCAAAAAGTCTCCTCTCCTTTATAAGCATCCCCAAGTCTTTCAATCTGTGCACAGCTTAATGCTTCCGAACATATAATTATCCCATCATTTCCTGCCATCCTGATTGGGTCTGACAAAGCCCTCCTTGGCTTCCTCAAAGCAGCACGACTATATTTCAGTTTGAAGGTTTTGTTTTCAACCAAATCCCCAAACTGATAACGATGTCCAGGGGAAAAAATAACACAGTTCTAAGGTCTTTAAATTTGATCTAAGCTACAGAGCACACATTGGAGATTTACAGCACTCATGTTTTACTCCTTCTTTGTCTCTCCAGGATCTCAGTGTGTGATGAGGACAAGTTTCGCCACAATGAGTTTATTGGGGAAACGCGGATTCCCCTCAAGAAGCTGAAGCCCAACCAAGTCAAAAACTTCAACAACTGCCTGGAAAAACAATTACCAGTAAGTCTATAAAGTAATAGCCATTTAAAATTTCCCCACTTTCCTTGATGGGTCCTTGGCTGATCCTTGGCTGGTCCTTGGCTGGTCCTTGGCTGGTCCTTGGCCGGTCCTTGGCTGGTCCTTGGCCGGTCCTTGACTGGTCCTTGGTTGGTTCTTGGCTGGTCCTTGGCTGGTCCTGACTGGTCCTTGGCTGGTCCTTGGCCGGTCCTTGACTGGTCCTTGGTTGGTTCTTGGCTGGTCCTTGGCTGGTCCTGACTGGTCCTTGGCTGGTCCTGACTGGTCCTTGGCTGGTCCTTGGCTGGTCCTTGGCTGGTTCTTGCCTGGTTCTTGGCTGGTCCTTGGCTGGTCCTTGGTTGGTCCTTGATGGGTCCTTGACTGGTCCTTGGCCAGTCTTTGGTTGGTCCTTGATGGTTCCTTGGCTGGTCCTTGACTGGTTCTTGGCCGGTGCTTGGTTGGTCCTTGGCTGGTCCTTGACTGGTCCTTGGCCAGTCCTTGGTTGTTCCTTGATGGTTCCTTGGCTGGTCCTTCATGAGTCCTCGGCTGGTCCTTGGCTGGTTCTTGACTGTTCCTTGACTGGTACTTGACCAGTCCTTGGTTGTTCCTTGATGGGTCCTTGGCTGGTCCTTGATGGGTCATTGGCGGGTCCTTGGCTGGTTCTTGGCTGGTCCTTGGCTGGTCCTTGATGGGTCCTTGGCTGGTCCTTGATGGGTCCTTGGTTGGTCCTTGACCGGTCCTTGGCGGGTTCTTGGCTGGTCCTTGACCGCTCTTTGGCTGGTCCTTGATGGGTCCTTGGCCAGTCCTTGACCGGTCCTTGACTGGTCCTTGATGGGTCCTTGGCTGGTCCTTGATGGGTCCTTGGTGGGTCCTTGAACAGTCCTTGGCTGGTCCTTGACCGGTCCTTGGCTGCTCCTTGATGGGTCCTTGGCCAGTCCTTGACTGGTCCTTGATGGGTCCTTGGTGGGTCCTTGAATGGTCCTTGGCTGGTCCTTGACTGGTCCTTGATGGGTCCTTGGCTGGTCCTTGATGGGTCCTTGGTGGGTCCTTGAACGGTCCTTGGCTGGTCCTTGACCGGTCCTTGATGGGTCCTTGGCCAGTCCTTGACAGGTCCTTGGCTGGTCCTTGACTGGTTCTTGATGGGTCCTTGGTGGGTCCTTGAATGGTCCTTGGCTGGTCCTTGACTGGTCCTTGATGGGTCCTTGGCTGGTCCTTGATGGGTCCTTGGTGGGTCCTTGAACGTCAATCTTTGTACTAAAACATTATTTCTGTCATGATTTGTGGACATTAAGATCTAAAGAGGAGCGCCATCTCCTGGTCAGACCCTGTAATTCAGTGAAAGGGTGGAGTCAGAGTAAAAAAAAATATGCACAAGGGGGTCACTCCAGTGGCTGGAAGTTGGAGAGGATTTTGCTGGGAGTTGGAGGGAAGTGTGCGGCCATTCAGCTGGTGTTTGACTGGGAAGCGCCATTTTGAATGGCTGCTACTGTAATTCAACACTGCAGATGTTCCTGGTGTAGTTTGGTCATGTTGTTACTAGTATACCCAGCCTCCACTGAAAAAACTCCTCGGTCAGAAATAACTGTGTAGAGAAATAAATCTGTTTAATAGATAAATTGTTGTTAAATAATGCAAATCTCAAAGTTAAAATAATCTTGGTGTGATTTCTTGAATTTAATGATGAGCTTACTGTTCTTTACAGGGTTTTCTATGTTTATCAGATCTCAATCCACTCAGAGCATCACCAGTCATGCAGCACACAGACCTGCAGCAGCCTTTTGATGCTCTCATGTCAATATGAACCAAACAGTGATGCTTAATGAGGCATATTGAAGCATTTCAACTCATTACCAAACTGTATTGATACTGGGCTGATACTGTCTCACAGAATACTGACACCTGCTGGACATTTAAAGACACTACAGGTAGCTAATCGGACAGACTAAACTGAATTGATTTGATGACATAGTACAGTGATAGAATTTAAACTATTGTAGGTTATATTGTATTATTTCATATATATATTTAAATCAAAAATATCTTTGATATTTTTAGATGCAGCCTATAAATACTGTAAAAATATATCAAGGGGAAAATTTTAATGAGGATGCTTGTGGACTGAGATTTTAGATCATAATTTTAAAACATTAAGTACAGAAAAAACAGTAAATAAACAAAGAGGCAATTTGAAATTAACTTTAATTCAGATAAGTTGAGTGATAAGAGGGAAAAGATGACACAGTCAGAAAATTAAAATAAAAACGCAACTGCTGAAATGTTCCTATTCCTCTTAGGCTGCTCCAAAATTCTGTATAATTTTAATCATAAACCGCAAAAGAAGAGACATTTTTTTTAGCAGACGCATCATGTTGACAGCTACGTTTTTAAACCTAGTTTAGTGAGTCAGTCAGGTAGAAACAACTCCTGTATCGGTCACATGACTTTCTTAAGACACGCACTGATACAGTGTGTTGCTCTATGACAGGGTCCTGCAACCCAAACTGCTCAAAGAGCCATATTGGACCAAAAAACAAAAAACAAATCTGTCTGGAGCTGCAAAATGTATAAGTCCTCTATAAGCCTCTGGGCTTCAGGCGTATTAGCCAACTATAAAAAAGGACTATGTGGGCTTAAATATATAATAATCGTTCATGATTAAAAGTTTATTCTGGAGCAAATGTCAGATAGTAGCATGAGGTGAGGGAGGAGCAGTGAACATTCTCACCGCACGCTGCTTCACCGCCCTTCATCGCGAGATTTAGATTTTATTGCATTGATGAAATGATAGAAAAAGGATAAAGGAATCTTTCTATGTTGGACGTGTTTCTGCTGGGAGGAGCTGATTGAGTCATGAGGAACCAAGCAAGAACTGACATCCATCAGAGCTCTGCTCTGATGGATGTCAGTTCCATCGTTCCTTAGTGATATTTTCATCAGAGTGCTACCTGTTGAATCTATGAACGGTTTTCTATGCTTGCAACGAAAATAGCAGCAGTAGTGGATTTTGAAGATGCAATCAATGTCAGGAACCGAGGACAGATGGACCCAGTATTCAAGGAGACAGTCAGTAGGAAAGTTCAAAAAGGTTTATTAAATTAACAAAAACTAAAGCGGAGCTGTGGCTCGCGGACACTGCAGGCGGGGGGCGGGTCACCGCCCAATCTCTGACACTCTGTAGTGGGAGAAACTCGTGTAAGTGACCACGATCATCTGACAGAAGATTATCTGAGTTAGTCACTTACCTGGTTTAACAGTCCAGTCCTAGAATGTCCCCAAGTGCTGCAGTTCCAGAGGACATGCTGGAAGCCGATCCTGGTCAGGGATCCAGAACAGACAGGAACAGAAACAGGTGGCAGGGTCCAGACTTCCAGGCATCCACAGGCTCCCAGGAGGGTTCAGAGTCTGACTGGGATCAGAAGCATGACCAGGTGGTCACGCACAGGAGCAGACAGGATCAGGTGCAGATGAGCAGGCTCAGTGGAAGAGGGTAGCCGAGACAGGACGTGGAACCAGAAGTTGAAGCAGGACTTTAAACTGGTCTCCTCCCTGGAGCCAGGCTTACTGGATAAAAACTGAACCTCCCCGCATATAGAGCCGAAAACCCAGAGGACTCCGTGGGGGAGGAACAGTGGACGATCAGGAGACGAGACAAACACTAAAACCCTCTTTCCACTGGCTACTAGGATCCAGGACATGAACCAAGGAACAAAACTAACATACAGGCTAACAGAAAGACAAGAAATGATCTGGCCCTGAATGCTCAGGCTGAACTGAATATAACCAAGAGGAAACAGGTGAGAGGAATAAATTATAATTGAGGCAGGGAGGGAAAAGGACAGGTGAAAGGAATGACTAATTAAGGGGGAGCAAACAGGCCAGATCATGACAATCTACTTCTTAAATCTATCTTTGCGCTCCTCTAATTTATCCAGAAGTTCTGCAATCACACTTTTTCTTTCACTCCCAACCTGGTGGTCGGCTGCATATTTAGCCTTCCCTAGAAAAAATTTCCAAATTACTCTTTTTATTTTTTTTGACAACCTCTCATTACAAAAAAAAAAACATGCAGGCAATCCTTCCGCATTGAAAGCAAACGATTCGCTCCATTCTTCTTTGAATCCTCTGTTCTCTTCAGGTATCTTCCTTTTTTTCCCTCTTTGATCCATGATCCGACACCCACCCGCTGCTCTTTTCCTGGCATCGCACCGCGTTGAAACGTGTGTCGCAGGATATGACCCCTGATCTCAATGTCTATGATGCAAATTTTCGTTGAAAGAAATGTTTACATATGTTGTTTAAATTTATTCATTATACAGAGTTTTACAGCATTGGAAAACATAATGAATGTTTGTTTGACATCCTGCACATCTAATTAAAACAATTTCAAAAAATCTGTTTTTATACATTTTTGAAAAAACGGGTTGCCGACCCTTGCTCTGTGCACCAATCACAAGGACCAAAGTCTTCAAAGCAAGTTTTCTCAGACCTTGCTGAAACCATTCCTTAGGGAATGAAAGCTATAAATCATAAAGTGGCCTGTGTTTGTTATGAGCAATGTTGAAACTGCAAGTAAATGAGACTCTGTTGCTCAATGCACTTAGTATTGATGTTGAAGCTAAGTGCTTTTATTGTTTGCTCAGAATTGACTCTACTGACAAATAATGGGTCGGTCCACAATAACGCAGATGTTTTAGTAGAAGTGATGCTCGGCTCTGTTCATATCTCCAGAAACATTAAAGATGAATTTTTGAAAGAAAGACGAGTATTGAAAAAACAAACTGCTGAGAAAAATTAAATTTGTGGAGAAGACATGAACACTGGGCTGCACAGTGAGCAGCGGGTAGCACCTCTGCCTTGCAGCAAGAAGGTTCTTGAATGTTCTCCCTGAGCATGCGTGGGTTCTCTCCAGGTACTCCAACTTCCTCCCATGGTCCAAAAACATGACTGCTAGGTTAATTGGCTTCTCCAGATGTAAGTGTGTGTCGTGACTGGTTGTTTGTCCTGCT